TCCCTTGACTTTCCTCCTGTCCCACTATCATGCTCAGTCCCCACCAGGGTTTCAGCAATTCCTCTTTGTTACATTATCCTTGATCATGCCCTACCAGGCCTCCCACACCCTCCTCACCACCAATTTGGATGATTTGTTGTTCCCTTGTCCCTGGGTTTGTTAACACCACCTCCTTTCCCCCCCACCCCCCTCCCCCATGTTGAAGTGCTTCTTTAAAGGGTTAAAAAGCAAAGGTGTCACCTTGAGGCCTACTGGGCCATACACGTCCACAACCTCCATGACCCCCCAGACCAGAAGAGCCACATGGTGCTCAGCTACTCTTCCCAACTGGTCTGATCAGGAGCACAATAGAAGATCCGGAGCAGAGATGGAGGTGGAGGGAGGCTAAAGCAACATTCAAAGTTACAAAGACGAGACCAGACTTGCTAGTTTGATAGAGACTGTTGGCACCTCCAAGACTCGAATGGAAACAAGGGACCCCAGGGAGACACTGGGACCATGAAACAAAACATGGACGGCCTGTCTAATGGAAAAGTCATTTGCACTGTAAACTTTCATCCAAATTACAAAACAAAAGCAGAAACCAACAGAAGAACCCACGTTCTCGGCACCCAAACTAACACAGATGAATGTGATACTGATGGGACCGTGATGTCAATAACAGAAACTTCCCAGCTGCCGACCCACCAGCTGCCACCCTCCTGGCTCGGGGGACAGAGGCAGCTCCAATGGAGAGGGCAGAGTTCCCAGAGCGAGGTGCCTGGAGGTTTTTATGACACACACAAAGCCTATGAACCATAGGCTGTCCTGTTTGGAAGATTCATGATCCGCCTATAAAAGGCTTGTTCGGCAACATGCTTCTTTTCATTTCACCGCATGTGGCCAAGATTCCTCCCAGCTCCTCGAAAAAGCATCAGCTTGACTGCAGTCAGAGACAGTAGTTTACTCCCCATTGCCACGGCGACCATTCCAGCCATGGTCCAGGGTCCAGTAGAGCAGGACAGGCAGAGGGCATCCTTGGCTCTAATCCTGCCATAGCAAGGGCTGGGAGGGTGGTGACGGACCGGGCAGTGTTTCCTTTTATTGTGATGGGTGGGGTGGACTCGACGGCACCAACCAACCACCGTCTTTGTGGAAGCGGATTGGCCAGCCCTTCTCCTGCAGCAGCAGCTCCTTGTGGGTTTTGAACCACCAACCTTTAGGCGGTTCTAGTTAGGTGCCATTGAGTAGGTTCCGACCCCTAGCCACCTTATGCACCACCCGGCCTGTGCCATCCTCACGATTGTTCCTGTACCTGAGCCGATCACCTTGTCGTTGAAAATAAACTGTGGGTGCCCCACAGGGACCTAGAGTACGTAGAAGAAAATCCGCCGATGTTAATGCGTCATCTGGTGAGTTTGAGCTCATGTATTTCTAGCCTCACCCCGGTCAACGGCCATGCTCCCCAATATACCCTCATCCCAGGAAATTCCTCCAGCTCATGGCCTCTGCGGCCATTCCTGTGCCTGCCCCTGGCTTGGCATCATTATTTTGACTTGTTTCGTATGTCAGGCATATAAGTAGGATCATTCAGCACATAGTCTTTTTGGTCTGGTTTCCTTGACTTAATAGAATGCTTCTTTGATCCTCCATCATATTTTCTTTATCTGTGGATTTGAAAAAAATTTCAGGCCTAAGGCATGGGGCAGAAATAGCGCCACAAAGATTCACAAGTGAGACGCAAATATTGCCCCCCATATTTACCTTATGTTCCATATGCTATGATTTGTTGAATTGCTTGATACTTGACCTGGCATCTCCTGGGTCCAAGGGCCTGCTACGTCCTCACGTACCATGAGGACACTGAGCATGTGCACATTGGTACAATAGCTACAGCGGTCTCCTCTCACTTGTAGATCGTGT